TTGGGTGTCAGATAACGGTGTTCCAGACCTTGGAGGTATAAACAATGAAGAGACATTCTTTGCTGATGAGGTATGTCAGCAAATGGTTTTTCTTTTTTTTGCCTTTTGGTTTGTGTGGACTTCCTCATGATCTTCGCCCACACCTCCATATGTTTTTTCTTTTCGGGACTATCAAGGTGATTACTGGGGTGTTTCATTGTCTCAGGTGCAACAGACAAGTTTGGTATACCCTGGAGCGTATAGAAAAGTGTCCGTGGAGTTAAAGGTCATAAAAGTTTTTCCTTGTTTGTCGTGCTTTTTGGATTTTGTTCTAAATTAACATGCATCGTGCAGATTCACAATTTGGCTGTAAATGCCCTTTTGAAAAGCAACTTGGTGAGTGAGATGGAAGGAGGCGACTTTTTGGGATTCGAACAGGATTTGAACTTTGGAGGAAGTAGTTCAAACGTTAATGCCAGTTTTGATGAGACCACTGGATGTGCTCAAGCATTTCGTGTCCTCAAACAATTGATTCAGAGTTGCTTGGCTGATGTGCGTAAATCTGACAATGTATATGCTGATTCCATTTTGCAACGCTTGTCTTGGTGGCTCTGCAGGTATGATCATGTCACATCCTGTTACATATTCACTTTGTTCTTGATTCGTCAAATATTAATCTGTAATATCATATTGTAGCCCTTGCTCAAAGCTTCATGATCCAGCTCTTCATCTCATGCTTCACAAGGTAAATGACCTTTTATGCTTTACGCTTTTATTAGGTGTAAATGAGCTGGTGCCGTTAAATCAGCAAACTTTATATCTATTTCTCCTTGCTTCTCTGTCTGAATCTTTCTCAATCAACTCGTTTATCAAATCTGTAGCTGACAAATTATATCTCCCTGCGGTTTTCATCAATAATAGGTCATGCAAAAGGTGTTTGCGCTGCTTTTGACTGATTTGCGGAGATTAGGTGCTATAATAATATATGCAGACTTCTCAAAGGTAGTTATCGACACAGGGAAATTCGATCTATCTGCTGCTAAGGCTTATTGCGAAAGCTTGCTCACAGCGGTGGGGAATAGGTTGGTTTCTTCTTTGCCCAGTATATACGTAAATGACTTTAAATCTTATTAGACTGTACTCATTTTCCTGTCACTGGTTCTTATGCTTTGCCACTGACAGCGATATCTTTGAGTGGATCCTGCTCGAGCCGGTTCACCACTGGCACTCATTACTTTTCATGGACCAGGTGGGAGCTTTTATATCTTATATTTCCCTATTGTATTTCCAATATCTGATTGGCAAATAGGGCAAAACTTGTTTTGAATTGTAAAATTCCAAAGCCATGAACACAAAATTGCCCCTCAAAAAGAGGAATTGAAAAAGTGAAAATTCATGAGACCTGCAATGCATGTAGTTCCAGTGAAACCACAATGGATGATAAAAAAATTACATCCGAGTTGCAAGGAACTCTACTAAATTCTATCTCCCTTCATTAGTTCATGTTTTTCTTTTGTTGCTTTTCTCAATACTTACTTCATTTGTTTCTTTCAACATTTTAGTATAACTACGCTGGTATCCGAGCTACCGATGATGAAATTTCACCTGACGAAGTGACTATTGAACCAAAGTGGAGCGTCGCACGGCTTTTACCCGAGTATATTCAGGTTTGCAGACAGATACCCATTCAAACCAATGTTCAACGCACGGACATTTTTTCCTTGACACATGCATTTCATCTACTTGGCAGAGGGATTTCATCATCATCGTTGCCAAGTTTATTTTTGACCCATGGAAATTTGCATTAGAGAATAAAAGGGGCAGTTCAGATAGTTTGGAGGCACAGATGGTAGAATATTTAAGGGAACAGGTAGTCTTAAACCAATTCGCTTGACATATTTTTCATTCACTCAAATGATTATCTCCTCATTTTATTTTTGTTTTCTTTTATGCAGATACGCTCAAACTTCATAAATATGCTTGTTAAAAAAATCGGTGATATCATGTCACACATGAAGGAAATAAACGTTTCAGATGCATCTCGGGTTTCTGGTCAAGCTCCGAAAGGAGATAACACGTTAGAATTTATACAAATTATCACTGCTGTTCTGGCTCTTGACCAAAACGTCCAGCAAGATGTTTTGGTAAATACTCCACTCATTCCTTTCCCTCTTTACCTGATACTGGTTCTATTGGATAACCATATTGAGTATTCTAAACAGAATAGATTATCTAAAAAATTGCACTGGAATCAATGTTTATCTTTATGGTTAGAAAACCTTTTTGTAACTCATTTCCTTCACCATTCTGATCTAATCTTAGGAAATCTTGTTCTTGAAACTATGTTTTCAGATGGATATCCTGTCAGATGGGTGCTAACTATTGTCTTCTCCTTTTTGTTCTCTATAATTTATCCTCTATAGGTAATGAGAAAGAATCTGTTGAAGTACATTAACGTAAAAGAATGTGCTGCTGAAGCCGAGTTTCTTGATCCTGGGCCCTCCTTCATCTTACCTAATGTGGCTTGCAGGTATTATTACTTGACCAAAAGAAATGCTCAATTTTCGTGATTCAAAATGCATTGTGGTGACTTACTAAATCTAGCGAATAGATAAATAGCTTTAAGAAGTCAAGTTTTCTTCTGGCCATTAGCTTATAGAAATACAAAAGTCCCTGCCAATTCCCTGCTTGTGATGATCGCACATCAAATATGCTCAGCATTATCAAACTTGTGAGTCATTATAGAAATACAAAAGTCCCTGTGTTATGTTTGCAACACGCAGGATGCATTTGCTCACACATTAAAAGAGAAGAAAATCGCCTTAGACCCCCTCAAATCCTAGACAAAAGAGTAGTAGTACCTTAATCTCACTCCCAAAGACATGCCTATTGTGTTTCAAAATACTTGACATTCTTACAAAAGTAAGCAGTGAGGCAGCTGAAACGTATTGACCGAGTTTTGTGTTAATGTTCTTTCTTGTTGCAGCAACTGTGACGCCTACAGAGACCTAGATATATGCAGAGACCCAGCTCTGTTAACAGAGAAAGAATGGTCCTGTGTAGATTCACAATGTGGGAAGATATATGACAGAGAGCAGATGGAGAGTAGTCTTCTCCAGATGGTGAGACAGAGAGAAAGAATGTACCACATGCAGGATCTAGTTTGCATGAGGTGCAATCAGGTGAAGGCGGCGCATTTGACAGAGCAGTGCGAGTGTGCTGGATCCTTTAGATGCAAGGAGAGCGAGTCAGAGTTCCTCAAGAGGATGGAGATTTTCTTGGATATTGCAAAGCGGCAGAAGTTTCTATTGTTAGAAGAATGCACCTCTTGGATTTTAGAACCCTTCAGCTACTTACAAAACAATACATAAAGACATCAATTTTTTGTTTATAGATTGACACCCAATCGACTAAAAACACCTTACTCGGAGAAGATATTTGCATTTATCTGCAACGCAAGACCAATTGAGGACGTAGCTAACATTCAGGCATTGTACCAAAATTCTATATTTTCGTGTATTTTATCATTGTGATTTTTCAACACTCAACATGACGATGATATAAGATAATTTGAGAATATTAAACATTAGACTTTGGCCGGAACGGGTGACGATGGATAATTTGATTATACTCTATTTACTTGGGAATGGATAAAGTGACACACAGATAATTATAGTTTCTTACTAATTAAATCGATGATCACGTGGATATCATGTGAGGATATTTTAATCGATCCAAATTGGCTTGAACCATAGGATTTACTCATATAACCGAACTAAACCAACCGAGATGTGGTTGTATTACTCATACTCATATCCCACTCGCACCCGCAGCGCGTTGCGCGCGTTAGCCAAAAATCGAAAGGTATCGATTTTGTTCATTTTGGGCTTACACGCGATATTGACTCCAAAATGAGCGAGTGTGCTGCGTTTTGCGTGTTATCATGCTGTCGTTTTGGGCTCGATTTTGATCAATTTTTAGCAATTAGGAGACATGTTCCTATATGACACTGTCCGTCAAATTAACATCAGTTATATCACAGTATATGCGTTTTGCTTGTTATCCCTTGCCGTTTTGCTTTTTTTTTTTTCTTTTCTTTTTTTTTTTTGCTTCGAAACTGGTCGGACTCATTTCGCCGATTAGAGCCTGTATTGGCTTCTCCAGCGTACACGGGAGTTTCGTTAGCTCGAACCAGCCTGAAGACGGGTGTAAAGTTGTTTCTGAGGTTATGCAGAGAGGTAAATGAGCTTGTGCCATTGTTGTCTGGGTATAGCGCGAAGACGAGAGAGAGAGAGTTTGATAGAGTTTGTATCGAAGCCTTTGGTCTACGCATTGTTTTGTATTGCAATTGGGGTTTCACCAATTCAATCGTTTCAAGCTGAGATAATGAGTGGATTATATAGTGATATGAGGCGGTCGAGGAAAGAGAGAGATGTGCTAATGAAACGAGCACATGGAATTGTAGATGAGGCCCTATAAGATTGAATTATGGAATTGTAGATAACTTCAAGCAATTGTGGATTTTTCTAGTCTATGCTGCAGTGCTTGCAATGTGTTGCATGGAATTGGGTGCTTATATCTTATTTCTATTTCTTTTACAGACAATGGCCTCCTATTCTGTCTCCGATGCTGTTGCAACTTATTACCTATACATGACTTATGTTCATCCGTTCATATTTTCTCTCGCAACTATTATCCCAATGGTTCCTGATGAGGTCTTACGCAAAGGAAGTGGCACCCTGTGTGAAATGCTTTTTGGATTTTAAAACCCTTCAGCTACTTACAAAACCATACATAAAGACATCATTTTTAGTTTATAGATTTATACCCTAATTGACTCAAAACACCCGACTCGGAGAAGATATTTCCATTTATCTGCAACACAAGACCAATTGAGGACGTCTTGGACGTAGCTAATGTATTACAGTATATGATTTTCCGTTTTTAATACTCAATTTTTGTATTTTTAAAAAAGAACTTACACATGACGATAGATAGTGTGTTAGAGGGGAAGGCGACACTAGAGGGGAAAATTATGAATATATTATATACCCAAGAGTGTAATCTGGACACCGACTACACCATCTCAGGCAACAATCATCTCTGAAATATTTTACACAATTAGAGAAAAAAAAAGATTAAATGACATGCATCAAACCAGAGTCGATTAGCTCTTCTTAGTACATACATAACCGGGAACTCTCAGCTTCTCACTGACACTAGAGATGCCGAACCATTTGATCATCAACCTTCCTCTCCAAATTCCTTTGTGAATCTCTCATGAACCTCAAGATCAGACTTGCTCACTGTCGGTCGTTGTCTTGCTAGTACCTTCTCGAAATCTGTTCTTGATATCGGCGGTGGAATAATCTATTTTATGTTTTGAGTCAAACAAATGAAAAAAAGAAAAGAAAAGAAACATAAGCTCTTTTGCACACACTCCATAGGAATTCTCTGTCTATCATCACCAAAACAGCCTCAAGGATAAATGCATACAAACTTTGACACTTACCTTTTCCGCTAGCCCTTTTTCTGCTAAATCCTGCATTGTAATCTGAATGGCACCAGATTGTTTAGGCCCACATGGCATCCACGACCCATCAGCAGACTTGAAGAAGAACATGGCATCTTGGGTTTTTCTAACAGGTTCAAACAGAACATCCTTGACCTGCCACAGAGTAGAAACCACTCAGAATAAAGACTTGTCTTTATATATATATGGCTAGAAATTATAACCCATGCCAAGCTACCTACACAGACAGCCACATCCGAACCAGAAAATCCCTCTGTCTTGCGAGCTAAGTATTCAAAATCAGCTTCATTCAAATTATGAGGAGTATCTCCCAAATGCACCTGCATCATACACGGATATCATTAGGCAACAAGGATTTTGACAACCTATATGATTTTACTTTGAGGAATGTTACTTTGAACATGTGCTGCCGAGCCTTCACATCCGGTAGGGGGATGTAGATACGCTTATCAAAACGTCGCCGGATAGCCTACAATCAACATGGTATTAGTTTTCAATGTTATTCTGCAGCTGGCAATTAATTCAAAGAACCAATCCACTCTTAAGTGTTTCACCTGATCAAGAGCATATGGTGTATTTGTTGCTGCCAGCACAAGGACTTTCTCATCATTGTGTCCAACGCCCTAAAATAAAAGAGAGATAAAGAGAGAAAGAAGTCAAGTTAATTTTTTTGCTAATAGCTTATTTCCAGAAGGTTTATTTCGATTAACCTTTTCACCTGCATTTGCACAAGAAGCTCTGTTTTGATACGTCTTGAAGCTTCGCTCTCATTGCCTTCTCCACGTTGACCACACAGAGAATCTATCTCATCCACGAAAATGATTGACGGAGCACTCTCACGTGCCATCTCAAAAAGGTTCGATACTAGCTTTTCACTTTCACCCATCCACTTCGAGACCAAGTCCGATGAAGACACACTGATGGATGGGAAGCAAAAAGAATACAATTATTCAAAACCCACAACGTGTTCCCAATTATAAACACAGTAACCACAGGTACCGTTCCTCTTATAAAATCCATTTAAACTCTAAATACAAAAACTATAGGCTAGCTATTCAAGCAGGCTACATTTGGTTGTGGAAAATTTACTATGTTTATCGCAAGTGAATCATATATGGAAACCTTGGCATGTCTTCCGGCAACAGGGGATATCATACAAACATAATGAAGAAGAGTTAAAGTTGAAAATTTTGCAGAAAACCTGAAGAGACTTATGTTACCTGAAAAAGGTAGACTCTGCTTCAGTAGCAACAGCCTTGGCCAAGTACGATTTCCCAGTTCCAGGAGGCCCATAGAGCAGAAAAGCTCGCCACGGTCGCCTCTTTCCTAATTATAGAAATCAAGTTTGATCAATACAACTAGTCAAGTTACCAATTTTTCTCTATATACTGATTCAGTATGAACATTTACCAGTGAAGAACTGTGGAAACTTGACGGGCAAAATCACAGCTTCCTGCAACGCTTGTTTGGCACTTTCAAGGCCAGCAACATCGGACCACTTAACGTTAGGCTTTTCCCTTACGATAGCAGAGTCTAACCCAGCTCGGAGCTTGGATTGCTCCGGGTCCTCTCCATCTCCTTTGCCCTCTCCGTCTTTGGGTTTGGTCTTGGGCTTCGTGGCGACAGCTGCATCGCCGTTCGATCGGGGCCCGGATCCACCTTCGTCTAGAACGGCACGGATCTCCTCGGCGCGGCGGAGATACTCGGTGAATTTGTGGGTGATAGCTTCTCGGATCTTTGGGTTCTTCTCGTACTTGAGATGGGTCTTGAAGTACTCGAGGGCATTCATGTAGAGAGGGAAAGCCTTGTTGTAGTTGCCAGCATTGTCCTCTTGAACCGCTTGCTTGACGTACTCGATCGCTTGTTCCTTGAAATTGCTGTACATATTTTTTAGGGTTTACAGAAAATCAATGATTCAACTGACAATCCTTGAGTTGAAAGGTTAATCGAAAAATCAGATGATCGAAATTGAATGAATCCTAAAACGTGGATAGTTCATGATCAGAAATTTACCAAAAAAGAAAATTTGAAAGAAAAAAAAATAAGGAAACTTGATGATTGGATTCGGTGACAGAGAAAGAAGAGAAAAAAAGGTAAAGAGTGATTGGGTAATTTTGACGTTGAAAAGAAAAACAAACAACAGAGTGTTTATGTGTAGATCATAAAAACGTCAAGGCGTCTGACACTCTTTTAGTGGGGTGAGTGGAAATTTCTAACCGTCTTGATGAACGACACGGAAAGTAGTCGCCGTTTTTCAACGAAGACAATTATCGCAAAAACGCGCTAGAAAGGCGAAGTTGCTATCGCGCCAGGTAGTTTGGGCCAAGCCCGCAGATAAAGAGCCTGTTGAAACTAAACCAAAACCGCATCAAATCAAATCAAATCAATCCAAACCAAACCGGCTCTTTCCTTATTTGTACTTCGTTTAATTTTTCTATGCAATTAAAGGATTTTGTTGATGAAAAAGGAAAAAAAATAGAATTACAAATACCACTTACTCTCTCTCTCTCTGACTCTCTCTCTCTTCCCAGCTCCAAAGTGTACACAACATGGCTGCGCCTACACAAGAGAGAGAGAGAGAGAGAGAGAGAGAGAGGTTTATTTAATGGTTGATTGAATTGGATCTCCGTTCTTTCAGATCTCCATTTCAGGGATGCTAAATCTCACATTTTCTTAAGTTTATTGAAATCTTTCTTTTCTAAGCAACAATGTGGTCTCCCTCTCTTTGACTTCAATTTCACACAACCCTTCTTCTTCCTCCTCTTCACCTTCCTCTCTTTCTTTCCAGGTTCTTTTATTAATGGAGTTACCATATCATGTTACTATCTCAACTTTATTATAGCTTCACCGAAATTTTGTGAAAACTTTCCTTTAACCCGCTAGATCCCTCAATGGATCCGACTTCTAGCCGAATAAGATCCGACCCGCGCCGTCAATTTTTGTTGGTTTAGCTTTTCGCGACGTTCTGATTACGGCGGCGCCGATGAAACGATCCGTTAGGCCTCTCTTCAGTGCTCTCCTCTTCGGCTTCCTCGCCGCCACACTCATCTGCAGAGTGGCGATTCGCCGGAGAAGCTTCTCCTTCAGCTCCGCCATAGCCGAGCTCGGTACCTCCGGTCTCATGACGGAAGAGCTTGTATTCAACGAGACGTTGCTCGAATTCGCCGCCATTGATCCCGGCGAACCCAAATTCAAGCAGGAGGTCGATTTGATCTCCGATTACGACAACACTCGGAGAAGCCACCGCCGCTATTTCAGCTCAATGTCGAGGCCGATCGATGGCCGCCATGGAAACCGAGACATTCCTTCCAAATATCCGGTAACGCTTCGCTCCCCTCAGGTTTATCGTTACTGGTCCGACTTCAAGAGAAACTTGCGGCTCTGGGCTCGTAGAAAAGCTTACGAACCTCAAGTCATGTTGGATTTGATTAGACTAGTTAAAAATCCGATTGATTCTCACAACAATGGTGTTGTTTCCATTTCTAGTAAAAGATACTCATCTTGTGCTGTGGTTGGGAATAGCGGCACATTGCTAAATACCCAATACGGAGATCTCATAGATAAACACGAGATCGTGATTCGCCTCAACAATGCGAAAACGCAGAGGTTCGAGAAGAAGGTGGGATCGAAAACGAGCATATCTTTCATAAACAGTAACATTTTGCATCAGTGTGCAAGAAGGGAAAGTTGCCATTGCCATCCTTATGGCGAAACAGTGCCTATCGTCATGTACATTTGCCAGCCGATTCACGTTTTGGATTACACTGTTTGCAAACCCTCTCACAAGGCTCCTCTGGTTATCACGGATCCGAGATTCGATGTCCTGTGTGCTAGAATCGTCAAGTATTACTCGGTCAAGAACTTCTTGGAAGAAAAGAAAGTGGAAGGGTTTCAGGATTGGAGTAAAAGTCATGAAGGCTCGTTGTTTCACTACTCGTCGGGTATGCAGGCAGTGATGCTTGCGGTGGGAGTTTGTGAGAAAGTTAGCATTTTCGGGTTTGGGAAGTTGAATTCAACCAAACACCATTACCATACTAATCAGAAAGCAGAGCTCAAGCTTCATGACTATGAAGCGGAATATAAATTGTATCGTGACCTGGAAAACAATCCCAGGGCCATTCCATTCTTGCCCAAAGCATTCAAGATCCCTTTGGTAAAAGTTTACCATTGAATATACCACCATCTCAAAAGAGTTTTGTCAGAAAGTTTGTGTTCAAGCAAAGAAGCTTGTTGGCAAGAGTTTACGCTTTCATTTTGTCTAAGTCTCAAAGATTTTGCTTGAGATTGGGCAGTGGAGACGAAGGATGTTGTCAACACTTTCCCAGTGATAAGAGTGCTCTTTACAGTTTAGATTTGTGGTGTTTAACACTTACACATATTTGATCATATATGGTAAATTTAGACGATAATCTTACACATCGATCTAAGCCGAAGGCGAAGTCGAGATCGTTTAGATGGTGTGTTCTTACATTTCTTTTTGATTTTGTTATAACGTGGAAATTATAGATTTTAAAGGTCAACAGGGGCCTTGGAAAGAGAGTTTGTTCAACAATTGCTATTTATGGACTGAGATTTTGATATCCTGAAAATATATATTTGTTTTTTTTTTTCAAAAGTCGCATTTTCTTAAAACATTCAACGTGAAATTATGTACTATTCAATAGAGAATAGTTTATGAAAAAATATATATATATATATACGACAACGAATAAAATGTTAAATATATTGAAGCGAATAATTAAAAACACTAATGGTGTAAGTGTGAATCGCAATTCATCGTAACAACAATAAGGACGAAAGCACATGATACGTAATGAAAAGAGATACAATATGATAGGAAGAGTCTCTATTGTGGATTAACAATAATAAAGTGAAGCACACCAATTTTCTCTTCTAATACAAATACATGAGAGAAACAGAAAATTTACGTGCTTCACAAAATTCTAAGAGATAGTCACCCTTATTTAAGATGAAACCAAACTTATTACTACTAATCACTAAGATAACTAGGGGTTTAGACGAGCCACACAAAAAGCTCCCCGACAAATACATCCCTCTAAGCGAAAGAGAAGTTTTTGTTAGTGAGCATAATGAAACCTCCCATAGATTACGTCGCCCAAAAAACCCCTATCAAACCAAAGACCCCTAATAATATCACATGCATACTCAAACCCTTATCTCAAAAAAAAAATTAAAATAAAAAAGATTAGAAAGACACCGGCCGGGTTTCATGTAGACTTAATTATCGTAACCATATCCCAAGAAAAAGATCTAAATTTTAAAATGTTGCTTCATTTTATTTGGTAAATATTGGTATATCGAGTCTAACAAAGAATTTCCCCCTTTTCAAGATAGAAATTCTTTGGTAGACTTGAGATGTTTTGTGGGTGCATATCTATATCGTTTTGAAGCAACATAATAAAATTCGGATCTTACCGAGAGATATATGGATGATTCCCACAATCCCCCCAGCGTGTGGCTCTGATCACTCGGTGGTGACACATTCAGTATCCTCCTGATCAAACCCTTCAAACGAAAGAGTCGGGTGAGGAGAATGGCCATTGCCAAATGACCTGATATGGTCTTTGAGAGACCTCTTGTGCTTGAAATCTGATCCACATGTACAATACCAAAGCTTTCCACAGTTCTTCTCATGGGTTCTCCAATCGCCTTTCACGGCCAAGGCTTTGCCACACTTGCCGCAAGAGAAGGGTTTCGAGCCATGCTTACGTTTGTAATGTGTCTGAAGTGTACGGAAGTCCTTCAAGGGCTTTGACCGCGGATGGTTGATGTTGTTCTTGCATCCCTCCGCGCAGCAATAGCATGGCAGCCGCAGGATCGCCGCTGGTTGGGTTGTGCCCTTCAACGAGTCAGCTCCTTTTCTGAACTCTGATCCATGTCCCCACATATGCATCTGTATTGTTGGTTTGTATATAGATTAATTCTTTAGAACATAAGCATATGTATTATTAATATATTTAGCCCATTACGTAGTATTAATATATAAGTCATATATAAAAAATGAAAGACCTATGTTAACCTAGAAAATATAGAAAAATAAATATGGGGTATGTATTTCTCGTTGTGCACAAATACGGATTTCAAAGTTTAGTAAGAAACCGTAAAAATGATTTAAGAAAAAATGTTTCCTACTTTTAAAGAGGGATTCGTTTGAATTTTTAAATTTCGATATAAAATGAAATAATTAAGTTTGTACTGAGGGGGGAATCCTAAGTAGAATATAGAAACCAATATTATTTAATTAGAAGGCTTTTGCGCAGATCATTAGGTTAAGTAATCGATTGCATGTATTCAGTAAAAGTAATATGATCACTTTGATCAGTGTTTTTTTTTCCCTCCCGTTCTTTGTTTCCTGCTGAATTAAACTTTAACAAATCCCACTCTATGATTATTCTTTTGCTTTTTGGCTTTTCAACCAAAAGGCAAGGCAAACAATGAAAAAGTCAAAAGATTTTCGAAGATTTCTCAACTAATCCAGAAGTTATATACCAATTATCCTCCTCATAGTATATTTGGGGTTATATTCACCAACCGAGATTAATTATCGTAATAATTAAGTCATTAAAGTTGAAAATCTTTTATTTACAGAAAAAAAATTCATGGCAATATTGTATTTTGTATGTAATGATAATAAATCTCGGTTGAAAATCTTTTATTTACATAAAATATTTATAGTAAACATTTGTTTCCTGCTTGCGACATTATAAAGGGTATAAATTTTTTGCGAGGGGAAAAAGAGGTATATATATTAAAAAAAAACATTGTTTTTTTGTTTAACATCAATCAATATTTTGTTTTATTATTTATAAAACAACCGTAAATGAAATACCCTATATGAATATTAGAATGGACAAAGGCAAAGGTAAAGTTGACATAGATGATAATGTTTCTTTGTCTGTTAATACGACATATAGTGATGATGTTTAGTGTTTACCATATAATGCGCGCAAGATTTGTAGGTGAAAGTAGTGAATATGCAACAAAGAATATAGGATGGAAATGATAAGAGAGAAGACGTACCTGCATGTTATTGTATCTATTGAAGGTTTTGCTGCAAATAGAGCAAGAAAATTGCATTGGACCGACATGAATCTGAGCCGGGCTTGGTATCCAAAACCGCTTCCCACAGACTACCATATCAGGATCATTCATCTCTTCATCAAACTTCATCTTCCTCCTCTTCTTCATCACCACGCCATCTTCTATGATCTCTCTCTTGATATGTTTCTTCTGATGATCGGAAGTTGTATCAGAGTCATCCTCCGCCGAGTTACCAAGGTGATAGTTAGGCAATCCGATTTGGAGAGTAACCACATCATCGTCCTTCTCTTCTTTGATATCTTCCAAGGCTTGACTTTTATTCTCCATGAGCTTGTTTAGAAGAGGCAAGCATTGAATAGACGTAGTGTTTGTGTTGAGTGGTTCTTGTGGTTGGCATAAGAATTGAGATCGTTCCAACATGTTTATCTGTCTCTGGTGGTTTGATCTTGATATAACATCTTTTGTCTTCATACGAAATAGCACTGAAGGAGAAGAAGTAGATGGAGCTCTAAGCCATTCAATGAAGCTTGGGGAATCAAAACATAAACCATTTTTAAGATTCTTCAAACTCATCTCTCTCTCTCTCTCTCTCTCTCTCTCTCTCTCTCTCTCTCTCTCTCTCTCTCTCTCCCCACACACAAAGATGGTTACATTAGTAGGAAAAGGTTATTAATCAACTTCCTGATGTGTATAGGTTCGTCAAAATAGGTCATTTCTTTCTTTCTCCAATACTCAAAATCATCTTCTTTAAACTTTTGTTTTTTCCTTCCTACCCCAACACGTATAGGTAGTTTTGTCGATGTTCGCACGTGTCTACGCGTTTACATTAAGGGGAAAAGAGTGTAATTTTTCTTAATATGATTGTGGTGGGTCTTACTTCATATAGTGAAAAGGAGACGCACAAGCACAAGGCTTTTCAATGAAAGAGAATCCTAAGACTCATATAGATATTCATTGAGCCATTTTTTTCTTCTTTACCCTCTTTTCCTTTCCCATTATCATTACAATGTAACATCTTATACCAACAAATACGATATCCCTTCATCATTTTATAGTCAATAATTATCTATAAGTGCATATAGACCGGCGAAGACAAAATTCATCATTACATCAAAACAACAATTTCAACATCATTTTAGCCGTCTCTTAAGGGACAAATGATAAAAGCAAATTACTATAAAGTCACGCGTTCACTTTTAATAAAGTTTGATGGTCCAAGTAGATTCACGAATTTGATGATGTATTATACTATTTTTATTTTTTTTTTCATACGCAAGAGTTTTCTAGGACTCAACTCCAAAATTTACATTTGTATTTTTTTTCCTCTTTACATAATCTATATTGTATAGTATATAAGACACTAATATATACGAAATTGTTTATTGGCGACACACCGTTGAAACTTAGTTCATTGATATTATTTTTCCTAAAATTTTGAAAACATAAAGTTATTTCATGAATGCTAAACAAATTAAATATTGAATTATAAAGAAACGATTCAATATCACTATATTGCATAATCAACTAATATTATTTTATTAGAAAAATTATATTTTGTTTCACACCTATCAAATATCATTTAACCAAAATCAAATTCGTTTCACCATATTGCTTATTCAAAGTTGATAGGTAAAAAAAGTGACAGTTTGGGCAATCGTTGTGCAACCATGAAAAAAAAATTTAGAAAGTAATAGTAACAATAAACTATAAAAAGATACAAGGTGTAAAGATACTCTAACCGTGATTATTAGGATACAAAATATTTAGTTTTTCGTTAAATAATATTTTTCAAGTTATTTTTATTTTGAGAATATTGCAATGGCGTCTTAAGATGTTTGGGAAAATCTATAGAGCCATTTGTATGTCATCATGGTACTAAGTATTTTTGTGTTGCTGCAAGAAAGAGAGGTTACATTCACTATCTTCCAAACAAGAACATATTTGAGATGCAACTTCCACCAGAATATACAATACATGAAAGACTATTTTTTCAATGCAGCTAAATATTTGGGGTCTAAACTTTCATCATCTTTAGGTGATACAATTTTCTATCACTTGTTTGTTCTTAAGTCCTTATTCTTGGACATAAATTATGAGACCAAAAATGAAAACAATAGTTTCAAAAAGAAAAATAAGAACTAAAAAAATAACACACAAAAGAACATGTAACAAATAATCACAAAAAACCAATTATCAAAAATAAAGATAAAAAGATAATAAAGTATAGAAAGAATACAAAATAAAAAATATACAAAAATTAAAGGGTTTGAAATTGAGAGATGGATTAATAAAAGATATGTGAAAAACTGAAAATGGTATATTAAAAAATTAAAATTTATCATAAACTTGTATCACATTTGGACGGTCAATTGTGGCAGAACTTTAAAAAGTATTAATTTAGCATTTTGTTATCACTTATTCACGAAAAAAAAATTTGATGATATACGATACCGATCCAACTGTGGGACAAGTTTATCTCTTTTTTTTTTTGTTATGGTTTGTAATCCACATTTGAACTGCCAATAAATCATCTAAATTAGAACAGTTTTTATTAATACTTGCTTAATTTATCGTTAGTCTCAAAAAGTTATTTTATATTTTTGTTTAAGTATCACATAAAAACATACCTATATTATATATACATATAAGATTTGAAAATATAATTTTATAAATAAAATTTTAATTTTCAAATAGAGTTATAAATACTATTTAAACCGTGGAATTTAAACGTTTAACATTAAACCATAACCCTCGGAATCAGCGAGAGAGACTTGCTCAAGGCAGTTGCTGTTAAACTTAAACCCTGCTTCTTCTCTTCTCCGATACAATTTTAAGTTAATTCCGTTTCTTTTTTAGTGTCGCTTTCGCGCGCCGACCAATGCAAAGGAACCGCGACGGCTCGTGGTCCTTAGGCGCCTCCGCGAACGGTGGAAGGGGTGTATATCTTCCTCAAGCGACTCGTGGGTTTTCCGATTTCAATGTCCGACAACCCATAAGTTACAATTTCCAGGCCCAGCAGAATCTCAATTTCCCTCATCGACAGATCCCTAGCTTCCCTTCTCACCAATTTGGCGCAGCCGCTAATGTTTTCCTCCAACCCCATGCGCAGAGCGTTGATAGTGGTGGGTCTAGATTCCATGGATCTTCGGAGAAGTCTTCCTCGAAATCAAGGCGCAATGTAGAAGTCAATCGTATTGATGAGGCCGTCAACGAGAAGCGTAAATCAGTGATTGCTTCTGGGGAGAGCGTTTCTTCGACTAGAGTGTCGCAATCGGTTCTAGCACAACTTCAAGCTGATTCCTTTGGTGTGCAAATGCAAGATGTTCCTTCGCTTCGCCAACTTATGGCCCTTGAAGGCAAGGTAAGCTTGGCAATTTTTAATAATGTGCAGGTTGATTGCTTTTCTTTAAAGCCTTCGAATCTTAAGAAATTATGTTCCTTTTTTATGTTTGGTAGATCAATGCGTTTATTCATTGCTTCATTGGCGCTAGAAGAATCGTGACCCTGCATGATTTGGAAGTAGCAATATGCCGAAACGAGTTTGTTGATTGTTTTGATGATCTGGAATTGGGACCTTTGCTGCAGCATCCACTTGTCTTACTCTATTTTCCATCCATATCCGGTTCTATTCAGATCACTAGTGAGGAGATAGTATCATTTCTTGATAGCTATCTGGACACTTATGATATGGACGATGTTCAGCTCGATGAGTTCCTGAATTTTGTTGCTGAGAAGAAATCAGTTTCAAGCAAGGAAAAGCTTGGTGTGCGTATTCAGAGCTTGCGGTATGATATTGTTTTTTTTTGGGTTGTTTAAACTTGCTCATTCTATTCCATTTTTTTAGTTTCTGTATTTGTTACCACAGGAGATGTGTGTTCTATGAATTCTACTGTATTAATTGGTTGTATATGTTCGCTTTTTTCGATTTGCATGACGAGAATCTGATTCTGTAAGAGATACCAGATTACGTTCTCTACTTATATTCTAGTTTAAACTGATTAATGCGTTTATAGGATGTATGTATCTTTCATTCAAGACGCGAAGAGACAAGAAGGCGAAACGTTGAAGATCTTGCGGACTGAACTGCATCAGAAGTATCACATCCTCTCATCAAAGAGACAACAGCAAGATAAATCTCTTACTGTCTCTGACCATGCTGACTTGTTTGCTTCACATCCTAAGGATTATTGTGGCAAGCATACAAGATTTAATTCATCAAGCTCAGATGACAATGACAGTGGTGATTGTGAGGTCGAGAATGTTAATAATGCTGATCATTTCAGTAGTTGTCCATATCCACCTGTTGCAGAAGAAATGAAGCAGCTTGGGAGTTCCAAAAAGAAAAGGAAGGTTGAAAGTTGTAATCTTGAAAAATCTTCCAAATTGCTTAGAAGAGGCTCCTCTAAATTACGTAGAGGACATGTGAAAGAAGAGATACCCAAATCGGCAGATGATTCTGATGCCAAGCAAGTTTTTGATGTCAATGAGGCTGATTTCACACGTTCTGAAGGAGCTTTGAGATTGTTCCTTTCTACCTGGAAGGACACATGTAAAGAGCTAAGCATGTCAATGGTAAGTCCATGTTGGACAGTTTTTTGTATCATATATCAGATAAATCTTTGTGCTTAGTGTGGCTCTATGTTTGTTTATTCTCTAAGACTATCTTTAATAATTGTAGTTTGTCGAGAAAATGTTGTCTTTTTACAACTTGGGGGGCTCCGAAGTACAACCTCAGATTAAAAGGGCTAAAGCGATGTCATCATTTCCATTTGTTGGATTACTACATGTCGCTGTAAGTTAATGATCATATTACTTGCGTTTAAAGTGTTATACATTTTCCTTTGTGTGATTTCCTGAGATGCATTTTCTTTGTTTCCATGTTATTATTCATTGTACTGAAGAATTTTGAAACCAGCCTCTGTTAGTGCCTCATATTTTTATTTCTAAAGTTACCCTTCTCGGGGATACCTCACTGTTATCTAGTTCTTATAATGCCTCTTCAGCTTACCCTCTTAATCTGACATCCTCGTACTCAAAGGAAGTTTTTTTGTTTTTGAAAGACTTGCTTTTTCTCTGTGATCTCGCTCTTTTTCGTCCCTTCTCCCAATTTGGATAGAATAGAAGGATGCTTACATTCAAAAGCTTCCTCTTCAAATAAGCCAGTAGCTTTTATCTATCAAAGATTTATTGAATCGAAAAATGTTGTTTTTCGTCACCTTGAAAGTAAATGATGTCGTTAATGAGTCTTAGGTCTGTGTGACGTAAGAATATATTCTCAAATTGAGCATTGGGGATAGTTTCACATTTGCTTTTACATTCAAGCTCATTTTCTACCACTCTTCCGGTTTGCTTACTTTTTGCTTTACCTTTTTTCCTCGGTTTTGCCCCTTTGCTATTTTTTTCTAAGTTGAAAAGATTTCGCACTCTGTAACACAGGCTCACTATTTTCTGTGATACCTCCTTTTCAGATTTTTTTGAAAAATTGTTTTTTCTGTTTCTTCTTGTTGCACTTTCTTATTACTGTGTGGTTCAAACCTGCCTGCTCTTGCGCTGAGACTTAGCACCCAGTTGAAAAGTTTGGAGTCGAGCAAATGTAAAAAGCTTCCCTATATCAGCGTTGCTCTTTGATTCTGCATGTGCACATCACAATGTCTCTGTGGCAGGCTGAAAAAGGATAAAAGTTGCGCCCCTAATCACTTCCAGTCCCTACTTCGTCTCCATGTTTACTTCCTAATTAGTTAATGGAAACTTTCCAACCAGCTCAGGTTGAAGATTCTGTCCTCTGAAATATCTCTTGGGGAATGTCTAAGACAAAAACCTGGTTGCATTTATGAAGCCTATCCTTGCTATTCTTTTTAACACTTGATTTTGTCATAAAAATTTCAATCGTAGCATCTCATTTTTTCTCCACATGGTCCCATGCCTTGTGTAAAAAGCTTCTAGTTTAATGTTTAGTGAGCGTCTGCATTGTTTTTCTTAAAATACCAAGGAATATCTTTTCTCGTTTTTTCTTATTTTTGATCATTTCATTTCCTTTTGATGAAAGAAAAAAGTTGCAGATATCTGCCGTAATTGAACAGTAACTTAAATTTGTCTTCCCCCTTTTGATCAGAAGGAGCTTGTAACAGAGGCTCTTGAGGAACAGATACCGATTGCGATCACAAAACCAAACTTGGTTTCTGGATATGATAACTGTGAAGGCATGAGTACACGAGCTGACAAGGCAAACCCATTGCGTCCTATGTCTGTGAAGAGTGGCTCAACGTCAGGGAATCTTGTTCAAGAATGGAGCAATTCCGCCTCAACTGACTTTGGGGTAAGAGATGGGCTTCGCAGCAGCACACCTTGGGCAGCACAGGCGCAACAGACGGGTAGAAAAGGTGAGGAAATCGCTTACAGATACTTTGCTGCAAAGTACGGCAAGGAGGCTGTGGTTAGCTGGGTCAATGAGCAGAGCGAAACAGGGTTACCGTACGACCTAATAATCAAAAACAGAGGTGGTAAGGAAGAGTACGTAGAGGTGAAAGCAACGGTATCCACAGGGAAAGACTATTTCAATTTGACAGTGAAGGAATGGGAGTTTGCAAATGAGAAAGGAGAGAGTTACGTGATTGCTCATGTTTTATTAGGCAACAGTAATGCCATCCTCACACAACATAGGAATCTTGTCAGATTATGCCAAGACGGTCATCTTCGGTTGTTGATTCTCATGCCCAACCAGCGAACCGAGGTCACTGTTGCATTTTAAACCCAAAATTAGTTAGTTTTTTCTTGTTTCCCGGCAAAAATAGTCCGGATTTTACAGTGATATTATTTCTTAATTTCAAACTTAATATTGTTTTTATAAAGCTTTTGCAATATCAACATCCGAAATTTGGACCTTTTTCAAATTCAAGCCGGTTATTTGACATGGCATCAAAGATTTTGGGGTCAGATGTTTAGTTTATGTAGATACTTGATAGAATAGAAGACGAGAACCCGTCAAGTATTGGGATAAGGAATATTCTAAAATTCCACCAAAAAAAATATATCAGTTTGGAAAAATGCTGTTTCTAAGAAGAATTATCATAGGAAGTTTCCGAATTTCTATGCATATATAAAAGTTAACTTGTGGGAAAAACAAAACTGAGATTGGTGACTTACTGACTTGGCAGTAGCGTCTGGAAATAAAAATCTGCAGAATAAATAGTTTAGCTCAAGCATCAGAAAAGGAATATTTTGGCTGGTCTTCTCAGTTATTTATTTTATTCATTCAATTTCAAGACACCAACGGAGGCTACTTGCTTTTTCTTCAAATAGCCATCTTTTTTATCAATCATCATCATCACCATCATCATTACCATCATCATCATCTTGTGCACATACCATTCAAACCATTTCTGTTTGTCCCTAAACTTGTGATGTTCTTGGTTTAAGCCAATTTCACACCCAGATTCATTTTTGTGTGGTAAAATATATAGCAAAATCAGTCACAAATTTTGCAAACGGCTAAACTCTCTCTCTCTCTCTCTCTCTCTCTCTCTCTTGTAGTGACTTTATCAGAGGGTTGATGGGGGATTCTTCAAATAGAGTTAAGCTCCGGGATGGGAGATTCTTAGCTTATAGAGAAAGAGGCGTTCCAAAGGAAGAGGCCAAGTACAAGATCATTCTTGTTCATGGCTTTGGAAGCTCCAAAGACATGAACTTCTCTGCCTCAAAAGTAAAAAAGTTCTCTTTTGGATATTATTGCCTAGATGTTTTCTTAAAGCCTCTGTTTTTTTTTTTCTTTGGAAAAGTAAATTTGAACTGGATATAGTTTCTCAGGAGCTAATAGAAGCGCTTGGGGTGTATCTTCTGTTCTACGACCGTTCTGGATATGGAGAATCGGATTCAAACACAAAACGTTCGCTGGAAAGCGAAGTTGATGACATAGCAGAACTTGCAGATCAGTTGGAGATAGGACCTAAGTTTTATCTAATAGGAATTTCCATGGGATCTTACCCTACTTGGGGTTGCTTAAAACACATACCTCACAGGCAATTCAAGCATTCCTGAAACCCAAAAGGATTAGTTTTATGTGAACCGCTAAGTAACTATTGAGTGTTCTTCTGTGCAGGCTGTCCGGCGTGGCTTTTGTTGCTCCGGTTGTTAATTATGGGTGGCCGTCGCTTCCTAAGAAGCTTATAAAGAAAGATTACAGGAGAGGCATTCTCAAATGGAGTTTGTGGATATCGAAATATGCACCTGGACTGTTGCATTGGTGGGTTATTCAAAAGGTCTTCCCATCAACTAGTTCGGTTCTTGAAAGCAATCCAGTCTACTTCAACAGCCACGACATGGAGGTTCTCAAGCGAACAACCGGCTTTCCCATGCTTACTAAGGTTCGCTCCTAGTTAAGTTTCTCTCCAAATTGTGATTTGTAGTGATGATCAATTCAATTGTGACAGATGTATGTATATCTCTACCTTATAGGATAAGTTGCGGGAAAGAAGTGTATTCGATACTCTAAGGGACGATTTCGTGGCTTGTTTCGGGGAATGGGACTTCGAACCCGCAGATTTAAGCATTACTCAAGAGAGCTGTGTTCACATATGGCATGGCAAGGAAGACAAAGTTGTTCCGTTTCAACTTCAGAGATGCATTCTGCAGAAGCAACCTTTGATCAACTACCACGAAATCCCCCATGGCGGACATCTGATCGTGCACTACGATGACATTTGCGATGCGATTCTACGCACACTATTGCTCGGTGAAGAAGAACAAAAGCTCTTTGAACAATGAAACACATGTACAAAAAAAAAGTGATTTGTTTCTGGGGTTTTGTAAAGGATTCTCTTTTCTTGATTCATTTCTAGCAAACAAAATATGTTCAAACTGTGTATAATGGCATTAACATACATACATATATGTAAAGTTGTTTTGAATGAAGAAATGGATTAGCAAAAAAAAAAACAAACCGTATAAACAGATTTGTTGAGTGCAATCAGCTGCTTATACTATCGGGATTTTCATGGATGAGATAATCGAACCGTGAATCGCCGCCATTGCTGGCTACAACGAGCTTCAACAAATCAATCGCTTTCTTCCTTCCTTTGACGCTTCCGTTCTCCGCTACGAACACGATCCCTTCCATGGCTCCCTCATCCGCACCAGACGCAACCGCAGCCGCAACTTCCAAACGCGCTTCGTCGCCACCGCATCTCGCCAGATTCAGAAGCGCACCAACGGCGTTCTCCTTGATCCGTAGGCTCGAACCAGTGCATGGATCTAGCAGATCCGCTAGAACGCTGACTCCTAAAACCCTCCTCATCGCTTCCTCGCTCTCCTCGCATCCAGCCACCTGCGCCATAACCGCCGTCGAATCCTCCACGATCCCGCACCGCGAGTCCTTCACGATCAGCGAGAAGAGCGCCGGGATCGCGCCGAGAGAGATCATCGTCGATCTGTTCATCGGGTAGAGAGCGATTGCGAAGAGTGCCTTGAGCGCGTCTTTGATCGATCGGGGATGCGAATCTGGATACCTGATGATGTGGATGAGGGAGAAGATGATGTCGCGCTTGGATCCGACGATTGGCCGGTAAGACTCATCGGAGATGAGGAGGCTGTAAATCGTGGCGGCGGAGGATTGGACTGCGGCGGCGGAGGTGGTGGTGTCGTGGTGGCGAAGCGCGTGAGAAAGCGCGTCGAGTAAGCCGCGAGAGGACATGAGTGATTCGCGAGACGTGATGGAGAGGTTGAGGAGAGTGGCGGCGGCGTTTTCTTGAGAAAAGTGCGACGAAGAGTAGAGAGTCTCGGAGAGGTAAGGAATTGCGCCGGCTTCGGCGATGATGAGACGGCTGTCGGGATCTTGTTTGGAGATGAGTCTGAGCTCAGCTAAAGCGGCGGCTCTCGTTTGCTCGGAGACAGAGCTAAGCTTGGAGACGATTGATTCCATCGTTCTACGCTTCGCTGTTTCCATTTTTGCGATGATGAATCTCTGTGTCTATGTCTCTCTCTGTTTTTCCTGTCAAGACGTAATTTTTCTCCTCAGAGATGATGAAGTTGGACTTTTTCTGAGCAAGTCAATGTGTAATGATTTGTCGTGTTCTCTTTTGAGTTTGGAATAGTAAAACCAACCAGAAGAGAAAGAGTCGTCGTAAGTGGAAAAACTAATAAAGTCGCAAACTTTTTATAAGTGGAAATCGGATGATGTTATTTTTTTTTATCCAGGGGAATTACTTTTGAGTTCTATCTTCCTTGATCATACGCTTAATTTGATTTTATCGTTTCAGCCTATTTAGTTTCATCCCATTGTTAGTATTAAGCTTGAGATCTTCTTTATAACGAATCATCGGGTTGTGATCGATCGTCGTCTTTTCAAAGATTGGTTTCTCGAACTACTGTAGTACTGTTACTGTGTCCTCCCCTGTCTTCTCTTCTTCATCTCTTATTGCTTGAAGAAGAGAAGAGGCTCGAACTTTCACCATAAGGCCACAGAGACGTGTCTGGTCCAGATTAAGGCCCGTTAATTTCATATATGTGTTTCTTTTGATAAAGGATTTTAGCCTCCTATGTTTTTTATTCCTTTTCAATTCTTGCGTTTGATTTTGTGCGTCGGTTTGTGGTACATGTCAAAAAATGGTCATTGATTTATTTGAAACTTCAGAAAATAGTTAGGTATGTGTTAAAATTCATCGAGCTGCTGCTCTCTTTCTACTTGTGCAAATTAATGGGTTCCATTTACGTGGTACGTTAAATTCATATATATAGCATTAAAAAAAAGAGGTGAAAAGAGGATCCTATCTTTTCTAGTACAACTTAAAGGAAATAGAGTGACCGATGATGAGTAAATTACTATAAGACAAAGAAACGTGGACAATTTGTTATTAAGATTCCATTTCGATTCAGAAATTGGAGAAGTGGTTCCGCGATGACTGAACAATCTGTAAATCCGTCGTCGTTTGGCAAGATGTTTCATCACTTATCAGCGTCCTGTTCTCATCAATCAATAATCCAAGAAATTAAATTAATGTTTTAGCTTACATAAATATATAAAGATGTAAATATGCATTATTACTTACTCTCGTGGACGAGATAACCAAAGTGAGCTAAGAGCTCTGAGACGTCCGTAGTACTCTCCGATGACTAGAAAACACCGTGCGGCTTGGCGAACGGTCAAGATTCGGCGTAGCTGGTGAACGGTCTGCTGCCTCAAGTTATCAGCCTTCATTTAAATTTATAATATAAATGAGAAAAAAACATAGTTAGCAACTTAATTAACATATTAAACTCACTAATTAATTCTTTTGATAGTATTCTATATAAAGAAGATAACAATGGCACACCTACTACCTTGGTGTGTTCATGGGTACTACAAAAAGTCAATAACTTGTAACAGCTAATTGAAAAAAATAATCAATTTGATCCTAATGTCTAAAACAAGAATATATTTTTATATGAGTTTTACAGAGTTCAAAACAAAACTTTGAAAGAGATGGAGAATAACTTTTTAACATATTCTTTTTGTTTTCTCAGCTGTTTAATATATTAAAACAAGTTGGTGTAAGAAAACTGGCTCTTGTCATAATTAAATAATTAAGACCGAAAGAACATATACTATTATATGACAGGAGGAAAATAGCGGCAAGAAAAATATTATGAAAAGACAGGGGCATAAACCAGAAACAGACAATACGTGAAAGCAACATTTTGATCCATTTTTTTTTCATTAGACAAATTTAGCTAGTCTATATAGTTGTACATATATGTACGCAAAATATATTCACTTATTACTTAACCATTCTGATCTCAATAAATAATTAAAAAAGGACCTTTAAGGAAAAGAATATATATATATATATATGCACGTATTGACGAGTTTAAAATCATTTTCACGTCTAGTATAACTAATGTGATCCCAAAACGTCAAATTTACCCAACATATTTCAAAAAAAAAAATGTAAATATAAACACAAACAAAAGTAAAAAAAAAAGGATAGAATGAAACCTGGCGGATAAAGCCCTCGAGATTAGAGAGCTTCCCGAGAGCAACAGCCATTTGTTGCATACCGTCAATGACGGGAGAGGCAGCGAGAGTGTCAATGAGGGAATGTTGAAGTTGTTCTAGGCCTTGCGATAGAGCTTCTTCTGCTTGTTGAGACGAGTGTTGTAAGCCATATATTCCCATCAGTTGTTGCTCTGTCAACAGATCCATTTGCGACACCAATATCTAACAAAAACCCATCAAATTTCCCCTGTTAAATTGATCTTGCTTATATAATTAATTTGTATACTTTCTCTAGTTAAAATTTTGTTTGAGTTTGGCTATTAAAAAGTTTACACTTATGATATCATGTTGTATATGTTTTCAATATGTGAGTGTTATTTTATGACCAAACAAAGAGAAATAACATGCAAATGCAAACGAACCTTGATAAGGTCAGATGGACGAAAACCGGCAATCCAAATAAAACAGCGTTCGGCAGGGGACATCCATGTTCCGATGATGAGATGAAACACATCTGCTTTGGCGGCCACAGCTTTTAATCGGAGTATCTCATCGAAGTGAGTGATGTAACCGTCAACGATCAACCTTAAATCGTTGTCTGACAAATGAGCCTGAAGACCGGTCCGGATCTCCGACATATGCCGGTTATCATCCTCTAGCCATCTTCCATATTCCATGTCAAATATTGCAGCTCCTACGTACGTACGTTCATTTGTTAATATTAATTAATCATATACATATAGTTGTTAATTGGGTCCAATCAGTATCTTAATAAAAAATAATAATACTGCAAATGGTGTTTTAGGTTTTAGTACCGGAAGTGATGTTAGGTCCAGGTGGACCACAGCCACCCATAAACAGCCCCTATATCGACACAAAATAATGTATTATATCAACTGATTAGCATAATAAGATTATTTAATTTTCAAATGACAAAAGAAACCTGAGAACGAGCTCGCTGAAGTTCTTGCTCCAATTGGGAAAGCTTTATCCTACTTGATTCTAGCTGTTGCACATAAGCCTGCTCAAACCACATATACATTTGTTATCTATGTATAGCATGTACATATAGAATAATTCATCATTACTAGCTCGATTCAGAAATATAAATCTTCTCTCGTAATTAAATCAATGTTTCTTCATCTGTGCAATTATGCGTTTATAAATGCATTATACAAGACTGGTAAAATGGTAGATATAACATAAATGCTATTTCACATAACAGCGCGGCTGCCTATACTAATAAACTGATATAGTAAGAGTAAACAAAAAACAGGAAATATATATATATATATATATATATATATGTAATTGAAGAAATGATTTTATGTGATAAAATAGGGAATTGTAATGGTTATAACCTTTTTTCTAAGACGGCTTTTGCGAGCAGCTTCCCTGTTTTGAGCCAGACGCCTTAATGTCTGAATCAATTCAATTTTAAGAACAGTTTCAAACAAAGGTTAACTAGTTGATAATTCGGGGGAAATAGGAAAGTAAAATGTATATCAATATATAGATATATGTGTCTCCTCGGGGGGAGTCAAATGAATGTATATGAATTAATGATGATGAACGTTAAAGTACCTTAGCATCAAGCTGTTTGCCTGAAGTTGTTGCCTTCCTCTGCAGTGTCAGAGAACAAAGATGGAAATAGAAATAAATTCAGTGAAAAAAAACAATAATTAATTGTGTACGTGTTAAGTTGACTCATGTGATTAACATCCATACATAGACAATAGTGAAGCAGCATATATTAAAATATGTTTGAACTAAGCGATGTAAAATAATGTTGGATGTAAGATTTTTGTGTGTGGTTTTAATGTACCATTTATATATAACAAGTACATTATATGATTATAATAGATGTAAAAGGAAAATAAAATTTATAGGATATTGTTTATTCAATTATTCCTGGAAAA